CATTACGTTTAAAAAAAAAAAAAAACTATTTATATAATAAATTTCAATTTTTACGATTCGATCGATTTCCCTTTCTTTCCCCGTTCCTCTCCAAACCGTCTCCCCCTTCGTTTCGTTTTATAATTAAAAGAAAAACTTTCCCCCCCCCCCAACAAAAGAATTAATAAAGAATGTGTAGTAAATTAAACTGTATTATTATTATTATTCACAATATCTGTGATAAAAAAATATCTAAAACCGTTCGCACTTTATTATAGGTATATCAAAATATTTTAATAAAAACTTTTCTTTAAAAAGAGACAGAGAGAGAGAGAGAGAGAGAGAGAGAGAGAGAGAAGAAAAAGGGTAAATTTATTAGAAAAGAATAAAATAAAAATATTTCCCCATAAAACAATTCCAATTTTGCGACATTTAAAATTATACAATGTATACGAGAAATTGGCAAAGTCAATTTTTTTTTTTTTTTTTTACAACAAACAAACAAACAAAAATCAACAAACACAAACAAAATTAAACTATGTATTTCGCTTATGTAATTTTAAACAACGACAAAAATTTTTTTGAAAAAAAAAAAAATATTAAATAAATAAAAACGAATTTTTTCTTTTTTTTTTTACTTTTCCAGAACATCTAAAGGATAGCGCTATCGGTCAGCCACAATTTGCCTTTAGGCATAAATCCAAAAATTCTTTGGCACGCCACGTTTGTTTGTTTGTTTGTTTGTTTGTTTGTTTCATATCGGAGAGTTCAATTTAAATATAGCGTAACGTTTTTTTTTTTTTTTAAATCCAAAAAAAAAAAAAAATGTATCTAAATATACTCGATCAATTCTCTAACTTATTTAAATATTTTTTTTTTTTACACAATATTTACCACGCGATAAATCGTTTCGGAAAAAAAATCGTAAATAATAATAATAATAATAATAATAATGATTTTTCGTGCGAAAAAAATCAATTTCGAGTTCATTCATTTATTTTAAAAATGAAATTTATTTACTCTAGTTTGTTTATCGATCTCATATATTTTAAAAATAAAAAAACAAGAGAAAAAAGCCTTTTCGAAAACCCTTAAAACCCGAACCGGAAAATTTCTTTTCTTTTTAAAAATTTTCTTTTTAAATTTCTAGAAAAAAGATAATAATAATAATATTTTTTAAATACGTTACGATGTACAATTCCGTTCGTCCTTTCGCGATTTAAATCTTTTTTTTTTTATAGAATAAAGTATCAAAAACAATAAATGATTTGAATTCGAATTCGATATTAATAATAATAATAATGATAAATTAAATTTTACGAGCGTGTGACCTATAAAATTAAATTATCAAACGGTTATGATACAGTCGGAAAATAATAGCAATTGAAATTATATCAGACGTGGCGGGGTGGAGGGGAAGGGGGCGGGGAAAATTAACCGCGATTCCTAAAGTATTCAAAGAAAATTTCGATAACGATTTTATTAGATACATTAATAACCCATATTTACGAATGAACATTGCAATTAAGAAATTTCGAGTGATGTCACATACGAGGTCCCGTTTTACGTGGTGTATTACGTCACAGGAAAATCAAAATCGTTTTAAAAAAAAAAAAAAAACGCGAAACTTTTTTTCTTTTACGCGTAGTCGGGCTATGGTCACACAGAAACATGGCGATTCGATTTCAACATGATACAAACCCGCAAATCTACCAACTGGCACATGCATACATAACTCAAAGTGTAATTTTTACGCAAGGGGAAAATAATGATGATAAAATCAAAACGCGCGAGATTCCGATTATTATTATTATTATTATTTACCACCACAGCCTTGAGCCACTTCCATTGTGTATACACACACAAATGCATACAGGAGGTAATGACAAAAATTACAACAGAATGAGTAAAAAAAAAAAAAAAAAATTATTATGTGCGTTACCCTCAACACACAAAACTAAAACAAATTAAACAATAATAATAATAATAATAATAATAATAATAATAATAATAATAATAATAATAGTTTAAATTAACCCACATAAATAAAAACAATAAACGAATTATTTGAATTCAAATTTTGTCATTTTCCACATGAGCAAATAACACATTCTTGAGACAAAGGAAAAAATAAAAATATACCGGAAATACGGGTACCATTCGATTTTGCCAAGTTAAAATCCTCAACATTTTACCACGTTAAACAGTTCTCGGAAACTATTTCCTCCCTCCCCCTGCCCCCCAATTAATATTTTATTAAAATGTTTCGCGTTTAAATTTTAATTTTCAACATCGGAAATCATCCACAACACAAGGATGTTCATTAATTTCAAACCAAAGACAGACAGACAGAGAGAGAGAGAGAGACAGAGAGAGACAAATTAATAAATTAATGATTAAGAATAAACATAAAATTTAACGTTAACGTCCTTGAATAATAAAAATAACTTAAACTTGAATTTTCTAGAATTTTTTGTTTAAAAAATTATGATTTGGAAAAAAATCGCACAAAAAAAAAAAAAAAACCAGTTAATGTGCTATTGAAATTAATTACTCGCAATGCATTACATAAATAAGAGAGAGAGAGAGAAGAGTGGGGGGGAGGGGAAGAGAGAAAGAGAGAGAGAAAAACCAGTCGAATTTTATGAAAAGTAGTTTTTTTTTTCTTTTTTGTTGCCTTGAGCATCATCCATGATTTTATTTTTATTTTTTATTTTTTGAACTTCACCGCAAAAAAAAAAGTTTTAACAAAAACCACTTTACAAATCAGCAAACTTTTATTTCATAATAACAAATTAATTAAATTCAATAAGAAATTATTTAAATTTCAAATTATTTAATAAAAAATATTTCCACCATTTTTAAATCAAATTTTCTATTACTTTTACACACACAAAAAAAAGAAAAGGTTTCTCGAAAATCGATGAACTCTATTACTCTCCTAACGTTACCTAAATTCGAAAAATCAATTAATTTTTTTTTTTTTTTTTAAATAATTTTCTCCTTTATCCCGTTCTTTATTATTATCATTATTATTATAAAATGCAAAAAAAAAAAAAGAAAAACTGGAAAACCTAAAGATTTAATAAAATCTATACGGTCGTTTATTCGGGGTCAAGGTCAAGGTTGATTGCGTAACTTTCAGCATATTTCGTATCTGATAAAAACTAGGGTTGCTTTTTTTTCTTTTGTCGACAATTTATAATAAATATGGACTAAAAAATCCAAATTTTCCCCCATTTTATTTATTTATTTATATAATAATGCATAATTTTATGTAAGGACCAGTAATTTCGAATAAATAAATAAATTTTTTTTGTAATAAACTTTCCCTAAAGCATTTTAAAAAAAAAACTTGGTATTATTTACAAAAAAACTAGATCTCAAATGCCAGCAAATTATTATTATTATTATTATTATTATTATTTTTTTTTTTTTTTTACGCAATTTGGCCGTTATCAACATGTTGTTATTTGAAATAACAACCTTGACTATGAATTAAGAAGATTTTCAATTCATTTGTTTTTTTTTTACACAAAGTTAATAATTTCTTGCATTTTTTTTTTTTATATAGAATTTCTTATTATTCTTAACCCCCCCCCCCCAAAAAAAAAAAAAAAAAATTAAACATGTATCGGATTTTTTTACCTTGGAGTTATCGATTTTGATTTTTAACCCCCCCTTTCCCTCCCCTCCTCCCCCACCTATATATATATATAAAAAATAAATTCTAAATGAAATAAAGACATTAACACAAATTTTAAAAAAAATACTCTAATAAAAATAATAATATTCGGCATTGTAAGTATCGAAAATATTATTAAAATGTGGGCCAATGTCAACTTCTTTTTGTTTTTTTCTTCCTCCAACTCATTAGTATAGGGTTATCATTGTGACATGAGTTTATTATATATATATATATATATATATAATAAACTACTAAAAAAATAAAAAAACAAAACAAAATATGGCTACAGCAAGAGATAAAACAGAGTAATGCGTGTAGAACAAAAATTAAATTGAAAAGAAAAGATGGCTTATAACATCAAGTTTCGAATATTGAATAAAATATAAGTTGGCATGTGAAAATTAAAATAATAATAATAATAATAATAATGATAATATTAATGATAATAATAATAATAATAATCAAAAGTTGAAAAGTTTTTCTTCTCGACTGATTTTTAACCAAAATATAATTACCAAAACCACTAAAATAATTTAAACCGAGTGAAAAAAGAAATAAGAAAATATTTAGGAAAAAAAATTTCTTTATCGATAAAATATCAAGATTTAAAGTCATCATAATTAAATCAAAAGATTCAATCATTTTTCGAAAAAAATTTTTTTGATATGAGATAAAATATTATTTGTGGTAAAAGAGTGTTATACACTTTTATAATTTATAATCACTTCAATGATTATTAAATGTCTATCTCATGATAAAAATAAATTTTTACGATTCGAGAAATTTACAAGATTTCGACAAAAAAAAAATTATCATCATCTCTCATAATTTAAATGAAGTAATTATTGTTATTTTAGTTAATGAAAGATTTAGTTTATGAAGATACAATAAGAGTGAAATTCTAACAAAAAAAAAATGCCTAACATACATTTATTTTTATTTAGTTTAATAAAAATATTTAATAATGAAAAGTAATGTTGTTAAGTAATAATAATTATTTTGTTGAAATTTGTAATTAATTTTTTTGAATCTTGTAAAATCCTTTGTGAAAAGTGACAACTAAATAATAATTACATAAATATAGGTTGCAAATAAAGAATTAAAATAATATAATTAATTCAAATAATTATTCCCTGAAATGTAATTTGTATGAAAATATTCGATTGTGACTTTTTGCAAAATATTTTAATAAAAATTTTTTTAACATCCATATTAGGTAATTTAAGGCGTTTAAAACCAGAAGGTGTGTCTTTTAAAAAATAATATGATATTATAACTAAATAAAAAAATATTATAATTAGAAAAAAAAAAAAAAAAAAAAAAAGGGACTTACCCAAACACTAAATGGCTCATGAATTAAGAATTGAGCAGCCTTTTTAAATTGGCGGGCGAATGTAACATTTTTTGATTTTTTCATAAAAACTGATGGATCTCCTCCTGTTTGATCATCATCATCATCATAATTAACCATTTCGTTTCCCGATTCTGTTCCATTTAAAGGTACATCTGAATTACTCGAAACTTGTACAGCATAATAAACCGAAATCAATAGAAGAATTACACTAATCGCGGTGTAAGTTCTTAAGCTCGGTAAAGGAATTCTTTGTATTGCTACTACAGGCATTTTAATGAAATTTCATTGAAATTTAAATATAAAATCATCTAAGCCTGAATAAACAAAAAAACTTAAAAAAAGAAAATAAAATAAAATAAAAAAATAATAAAAAAAAATAAAATAGGCGCACACTTTTTTATTCGGTATATAAAAAAAAAAAAAAAAAAAAAAAAAAAAATTTCAAATCAACGAAAACGATAAATAAGGCTTAATTGTGTACAAAAACTTTTGATTAAATTCGTTTCCACACATCGAAGATCGCTTAAAAACTGACTGACGTGTTAATGCCAGGTCATTTTAACCCGTAATGTGAAGGGCGGTGTGGAGGACAATGTTAAAAAATATTTAATTCCGTAACTTTTTCATCTTTTCATAACTCTTCCTTTTCAACAATTTCACACCACATTATTTAATATTTTTAATGAATTTTATTTAAATAAAAATTTACCGCAACGTAAAGTCGATCAAGTTAAATTTAAATAAAATAAAAATTATGATTTAAAAAAATAAATTAAAAGTGCAAGTTAATCTAATAAATAGTTATGAATGGAAAAAAAAATTTTTTTTTAACAAATTTAGTTTTTATTTATATAAGGTAGAGTCGTTGGTTTACGTCAAGTTATTAAATATAAAAAAATGTCACAGTTAAATCTAGTTTTGGAAAAATTATACGAAGAATATTATAAGAAAACATCAACGAAACTTAAAATCGTTGATGCATATTTATTATATGTGTTTCTTACCGGCGTCACTCAATTTGTATACTGTTGCCTAGTTGGCACATTTCCATTCAATTCTTTTCTTAGTGGTTTTATTTCATGTGTAAGCAGCTTCATATTGGGAGGTTAGTTAACTTATTTTTTTTTTAATTTAAATTTATGATCATTAAATTTCATTATATTTGTTTTTTTTTTCAGTTTGTCTTAGATTGCAAGTTAATCCACAGAATAAATCTGATTTTATGGGAATAAGTGCCGAAAGAGGTTTTGCAGATTTTATATTTGCTCATGTTATTTTGCATTTAGTAGTTATGAACTTTTTAGGATAAATATATTTTTTTCTTTACCTGCACAAACTTTAATTTTATTAAAATATGTAACTGAGAATTATTGAGTGAAAATCAAACATTCTGTACACAGTAATTTTGTCCTGAATCGTCACGACTATAACCGATAAATGTTAAAAAAAAGTTTTCGCAAATATTTTTCGATATAAAAAAAAAAATTAATTTAGAAATATAAAATATCCTAATCAAAAACAATTTACTACTACATGGGAAAATAAAAGCTAATGTGCATTTACAAAATATTATTTATTACTCCTCAATTGCCAGTAAATATATGTTTATTACTTAATTAAAAAAAAAAATCTAAAGTTAAATGTAAAAATAACCTAAATAAAAAACATTGTATATGGTTACACAATATAAGTTTATTGAAAATTATAATTGAAATTAATTTTAAATTAATGTTAATTAGTCCTTAGATTCCCTGGCAAGTTTTGCAGCTGTTATTGGTTCTAAATTTTTAATACCATTTCTAGTAACTACTTGAACTTTAAAATTGGGCAAATTAATAACGACTCTTTTATGAATTTCTCTAATGCATTTCGAAAGAACTTCATATCCTTCCTCTATTGTCAAATCTAAAACCAAAATTTTTATGTCATAATTTGAAGTGCATTTCACATACATGTTAGAAACAAAATTTAATGTTATTCATAAATTTACAATTAAAAACATTATTAAATCATTTAAAAAAAAAGTAAAATGGATACTGTACTTACCTTTTCGATGTAATTGGTCCATAATGCTAAGGCAAAAATGTCCACCGAAACCATGAACTGCATATGGAGTTTTAACAAGTGATGCTAAATAATCACAAAAGTAAAGTTCAAATTCATCTGTAGTATCATCATATCCTCCAAGTAAAAGGTTAACATTGTAAGGAGTCTGAAACAGAATAAAAAATAAAATATTATAGTTTAAAATGTTGTGCAATGATAAATTGTTTGTACAGAACTTGGTATAATGTTCAAATAAAATATGTGAAAAAAAACTTACGCGACTTCTGAGGTAATCAGCAAGATTTCGACGTGTGAAATTTGATGCAGCTGAGGGCGACAGAGCATAACCGTTTCTCATTTTGTATAATTGAATATTTTTCGATATAAATTCGGAAAATTGTGAAGTGTCTCCAGAATCTCCACAAACAGCCATAACCATTTTATCCGTCAATGGAAATAATTTTTCTTCATCTAATTTACAATAATAAAATTAAAAATTAATTATTCTAATTCTTATTACGATTATTTGACTGTTAAAAATATTTTGATTGGAAAAAAAAAAAAAAACAAGCCGATAAAAAATTAAACTTACCGTTCTTCATAACTAATATACTCTGAGTTTTAGTCATATCCGCCGCTAATATGACAAAATCTTTACAAGACATACCCATAAGACATTCCATTTTATTAATGGTCTATTTATCAAATTTTTTCAGAGACCAAATAATTACCTTTAGTTAAATTACCGTCAGATACTTTACGCACGGTGAAGAATTTGTTTTGTCACTCCAAGAAGGCAATATTTGAATTTAAAAAAAAATGTTATGAAAGGAACGAAAATGAATAAAAAATTAATCAAGTATTTAAAATACATTTTTAAATAACATTTTTAAAAAAATAAATGGTTTTATTGCTTGATTTGTTTTTTTAAAACCGTATCGTAATTTTTTTTAGTAATTTTACGTTTTTTCGAGTAATAATTTTGGCGCCATAATTAAGTTCTATTGATCATTGTTGCGGCTGCCATATTTGCTGCGTAGAAGCATTGTAGAAATCTTTGACTGTAATTTTAGTTTATCGATTTTATTTTAATTTTTGGGTTAATTTTTTTGACGCCTGTAGGTATGTAAATATTTTTAATTTAACCTACCATTCAATTTTATTCTTATAGTTATTTTAAAAATTAAAAAAATTTATTATATTGTTCATTGGGAGTGACCTGTGATAAGCCTAAAGAGTGAATGGACTTCCAGCATGGCTGATTGAAATATGTATAATAAAAATTTATTAAACGATCGCATTTATGTAATTATTTAACAAAAAAAAAAAAAAAACCGTTTAAAATTTTAGGAAATAATATTTTTAATTTTAACCGTAATTAGTACTTTAAGGTATATAAATTTTTTTTTTTTTTTTTTTTTTTTTAGCATTTATTGAAGTCTCTGTCATACCCTTACGATTTTAAATATATATATTTACACATACATATATTTATGTATTTTGTATTTAATATTTGTAAATTAAATATTTAATTGCATTTGTTCAAGCTTTCAATTTTTTTTAAAATTAAAAATTTTTTATTTTATAGAACAATGGCAGTGAACGTTTATTCCACTAGTGTCACATCTGAAAATTTGAGTCGGCATGACATGTTATCATGGGTTAACGATTGTTTGGCGTCCAGTTTTAGTAAAATTGAAGAACTTTGCACGGGTGCTGCCTACTGTCAATTTATGGATATGCTTTTTCCCGGGTCCATTATGTTAAAGAAAGTTAAATTTAAAACAAATCTTGAACATGAATATATTCAAAATTTTAAACTGTTACAAGGTGCTTTTAAAAAAATGAACGTAGAAAAGGTATGTTTTTGTAAAATGGATTTTTCATTAGTATGTGTAAATGTTAAAAAAAAAAAAAATTTTTAAACTATTTCTTTACAAAATTGTTATTCGATTCCATTTTACTATATGCTCTCCAAGTATTTTATTACAATTATTAAATAATTTTTTTATATAATATAGCATTAATCACTTTTGAATGCTTTAATTTAAAATTCTTTCGACACAAAAAAAAAAAAAAAAAAATAGGGCATTTTAGGTCTTAGTCTTAATTTTAGCCATTTATTATTCTGCATCATGTTAGCGATTTCATTTATTGTTATTTAATAATTTTAATGAAACTCTCATCAATTTTTTTTTTTTTTTTTATGCAATGTAGGGTAGTTTGAAAATGAGAAAAAGTTTTTAATAATGTCATATTATCATAGCTAAGAGTCATTTTTAGAATTTTTATTTTTCCAGTTAATCCCTGTAGATAAATTGATCAGAGGAAGATTTCAAGATAATTTTGAATTTCTTCAATGGTTTAAAAAATTTTTTGATGCAAATTATGATGGCAGAGATTATGATGCATATGAAGCACGAGGGGAAATAGCGCTGGGTGGTGTTGATAATAAAAATACAGGAAATGTGGGGTCTCGTAAGGCTTCCCAAGGCCGGCCTTCCCAGCAAATGCGGCAACCCGGTGAATATAGATATACAAAAAAAAAATATTTATCGTCAGTGGGCTTGCAGCAGCACTCTGCTTCTTTTTTTTTTTTTTTTTTTAAATGCAAAATTTGCTTGTAATTTTTTTAAAGCATGATTTATTATTTAGACGAAAGTTTTTTAGGTTAGGTTATGAACTGTCATTCGTTTTGTTTAGTCGGTTATCACAAATTTAATCGTAGATCAGAGAAAGCTGTTCTTTTTAGTGTTTTATTAGTTTAAAATTTTAAATTTGCTTTTAGTAATTCATTAGTATTGTTTACAAAAAAGAAACTAAAGAAGAAGTTTTAAGTAATCCCTTTCAAATTTTTCATAGTGATGATTATTAACGAATAATTGAATTGATATCGATTATGAAATAAAATATTGTTAAAGTTAATAATAATAATGATGCATTGAATATACACAGCGAAGGAGTGTGTGTGTGCGTGCGTGTGTGCGCGTGTTTGCTTTTTATTAGAGCTTTCTTAAATTATGTTTTATATGGGTTGCTTTCTTTATGTAGCAGGGAAGGCTGGAACAAAAGTACACCCATGATTTGCCCAAAAAAAAAAAAAAAAGAAAAGAAATAAGAAATGTGTTTATTAATTTTTTTGATTATGTTTGTATCCTGTTAAATATTTATTTTTCAGATTATTCTTCGTGTATATATATATTAAAGAATTGAAGGAGTTGGTTTCGCTCTCAATATGTTTTTATAAAAAAAAAAAAAATTATTTTTAAATGTATTGTCAATTTTTTTTTTTTTTTTGGTGTTACGTTCCAGATCGTTCCCATAGATAAACTTGTTAAAGGAAAATTTCAAGATAACTTTGAATTTCTTCAATGGTTCAAAAAATTTTTCGATGCCAATTATATAGGTACCGCATATGATGCTTTGGCAATGAGAAATGGGGAGCCGATCGGTTGCGGAGGGACCGCAACCAAAACAACCGTCACCAAAACAATTAAACAATATAATACTCAGACTAAGCCGGTTGGAAAACCTAGTGGGTTTACTTTTGTTTTTGTTTTTTCTTTTCAATAATAATAATAATAATACATTTTCTTTATATCGTGGTGGGCTGTGTTGGGCTAATTCCTTTACTGCCATATCAGGTCTTGTAGCCTTGAGGGCGGAGGTTGGTCGGTCGGTCGGTCGGTCGGTCGGTTGGTTGGTGTGTCTTTTCGAAACCAAAAATCGTCTGAAATAATTTTCTAAAAAAAAAAAAACTTTTTTTAAAAACTAAAAATTTTTTTAAATCAATTTTTTTTTTTACGATTTATTTTTTATGTGACAGGGAAAAATTAATTAAATTCATTTTATAGAGTAGTTTTTAACCGCTTAAAATATGTACCATTGAAAAAAAAAAGATTTTATTTATTTTTTATTTATTTTTATTTAGACTTATTAATCATTATTATTATTATTATTATTATTATTAGTTATTATATTTTGTACGAGTTTGTATTAAATAATAATAATAATAATAATTTATAGCTGCATGCGTTTGCTTTTTATTAAATAAGTAAAAATAAATAAATTAATTTTTATTTTTTTGTTTTTTAAAGCAAATAACACGCTTAAGTAAAGTTTTAAAAAATTTGTTTTTTTTTTTTTTTTTTTTTTTTCCAAGTGTTTATTTTTAAAGACGATAATAATAATAATAATAGTAATAATAATAATGATTATTGTATTTTTAGCATCTGCCGTCAAACCACAGGCAAACAACCGGTCCATTTTTCCAAAATCCCAGCTTCCCACTCAAAGAGGTGATACAGGTCGTATAGATGAACTCAATGCTCAGGTTAGTGACGCGGACGCGTGACGTCATGTTGGTTTTTACAATTTCATCATCATCATCATCATTATTATTTATTTATGTTTTTTTTTTTTTTTTTTGTTGTCAAGGTGGCAGAATTGAGAATTGCCGTAGAGGGATTGGAAAAAGAAAGAGACTTTTACTTTAACAAATTACGTGATATCGAAGTTATGTGTCAGGACGAAGATGATGTTGATTCGAAAACTCCGATAATAAATAAAATATTAGAAGTACTTTATGCGACTGAGGTAAATAAATCAAATCAAATCCAATCAAATCGTTTTTTTTTTTCCTTTGTGAACAACAAACAAAAAGGAAAGGTTTTAATATTTAAACCTTTTTTTTTCTTTACAGGAAGGATTTGCACCGCCGGATGAAATAGAAGAAGATCAATTATCTGCCGGAGACGATAAGGAATATTGATGTATTAAAAATTCCTTTAAAATTTAGGAAACTAAATTAAATAAATTTAAAACGCGCATCATGATGAAAAAATTTACACACAATTAACTAAACAAACAAAACAAACAAACAAACAAACAAACTAAAAAAAAAAAAAAAAAAAAGCTAAAAACTAAAAAAAAACTAAAAAAATGATATTATTACTTACTTTGTACGGCCATTCATTACTTTATTTTATTTTTTTTTTAATTTTTGTATTATTTTTTTTTTTTTTTTTGCGTTTCTTTTTTTTCTCTCTCTTTCTCTTTCTCTCTCTCTCTTTTTCTCTTTTCTATCATTCTATCTTTCTCTGAAAAAAAAAAAAAGAAAAAAAAAAAAAATTTTTTTTTAATTTAAAAAAATATTAATAACGAAATTATAACAAGTGTTCTTAAAAATAATAAAAAAAAACAATTTTAATTATTATTATTATTTTTTTTTTTTCGTTATGTTTTCGGGGGATAAATATATATATATATATATATATAATGATGATGAAACAAACGACAACAACAACAAACAACCAAAAACAAAAACAAACAAAAAAGAAAAAGAAAATGATCAAAAAAAATTTTTTTTTTTCGTATTTAAAAAAAATATCATTATTATTATTAAAAAACATCATTTATTACGATTTTGCTTATTAATTAATTATAATATTAATAATAATAATAATAATAATAATAATAAATTATATAGAATTATATATATAATTAAAATTGTTTCTGTTTTTGAAATAAATAAATATTTATTATTAAAAAAGGAAAATGATAATAATAATAATTAAATAAATTAGTAAATATTTATATTTTTTAAATAAATAAAAAAAGGTTTTCAAGAGCTGGCATTAGAAATTTATTAATAATAATGATAATGATAAAAAGAGAAGAAGAAGAAGAAAGAAGATAAAATTGTGCTTAAAGCTTAAATTATTTTTGCTCATAATCCATAAATAATTATGGAGAAAAAGAAAAAATAAATTCCAGAAAAAAATTTTAAAAAATTCGCCAAAGTTATTATAGAAAAAAATTATTATTATTATTATGGTCACTCTTAAACACGACAAGGCTCTTATTTGTCGGGGTTGTTAATTATTATTATTATTATTATTATTATTTTTAATATCATAATTATAATTAATTAATTAATGTTTAAAATTTTATTAAATAATTTCCCCCCCCCCTCTCTCTCTCTCTTTTTTTATTAATTTATTTAATTATTATTAATATATAACTTACCATTCGAAAACTGGAGAGCAAAAAAAAGTGGAAAATGGCGTCAAAAAAATTATTATTATTATTATTATTATTTTTAATTAATAAGTTATTGATTTAATAATATTTATTATTAATATTATTATTATCATAATAAATTTTTAGATTTAATTTGATTTTATTTATATTTAAAGTGGAATATCACTTTTTTTATTATTTTTTATTATTTATTATTATTATTATTATTATTTGGAATAATAAAAAATTTGTACTTTGTTTTTAATGTTTTATTTTTATTTATTTTGTTTATTAATTAATAAATAATTATTAATTTGAATTATTGATTTAATAAAGAGAAAAATAATTGGATGCGATTTAAATGATGAGAAAAAATTAATAATCCCCCCCCTCCCCCCACGTCCATAATTTATTATTGAAACGTCATCAAAATTTTATTCTTTATTTATTTATTTATTTATTAATTAATAAGTATTGTGTGAGAGTATTAAACAATTTCTTTTATTTTTCTCTAATTTATATTTTGTTATTATTATTATTATTAATAAATTTTTAACTTTATTGTATTTATAAAAACATTAAAATGAAATCACGTGATCATCAATTAATAAAAAAAAAAAAAAACATTCTTTTACATTATCATTATTATTATTTATTTATTTATTAATTTCCTCAAGTATTTGTATCGTTTATTATTATTATTATTATTAAGGTTTTTTTTTTGAGAGAGAGAGAGAAATAAATCTTATCTAAAATTTCATTTTAATAATAATAATATTATTTTAACTACAAATAATTAAGACTAAATTTAAAAAAATAATAATAATAATAATAATAATTAAAAATCACAATTTAAAATTACAACCTAATACTATTTATTTATTATTATTATTATCCGTGGTGAATATCTGCATCATCATTGTCATCTTCTCCCTCGGCGTTATATACCTCATCGTTATCATCATCATCATCATCATCTTCATCATCATCTTCTTCTCCGTCACCCTTTTCGTAATCGCTTACGTTTTCATATTCCCCATCGTAATCATCATCATCATCATCATCATCATCGTCTTCTTCTTTTTCTTCTCCGTCGTCGTCGTCATCGTCGTCATCATCATCATCACCATCATCATTGTCATTTTCTTCTTCTTCTTCTTCCGTATCGACATTTTGTTTTTCACTCTTCTGCTCTCCGATATCTTTTTTAATTTTCTCCTTTATACTTAAAACTATTGGAAAATTTTTATAATAAAAATATCAGAAAAAGAAAGAAGAAAAAAAAAAAAATACTTACTTGTTGTCGTGGAAGGATTCGTGTTTCCACTAAAATTAAAAGCCGGCTTAGAATTATTTAAACCGAATTTGATTGCGTTTTGAGCGTCGTTTCCGAAAGCTTTCCCAAAATTGAATTCTGGTTTTTTCAACGATGATGATGATGATGATGATGAAAAAGGAGTTTTCATTTGAGTACAAGAAGAATCCGGCTGAAAAGGTTTCGAATAAGGTTACAAATGATGATAATAATAATATATATTAATAAATACGCGCACACGCAAATTTTACTTCATCTTCCGCGTCGCAACCGACGCATCCCGGACAATCCCGTGCTTGAAGGTAGGAATAAAAATTGGGGGGCAAATGTAACGAAGCAGCTTTTTCCCTTTGTTCGGCCGTCACTTGATTTTGAAAAACGACCGTTATGTCGTCATCAGACTTTTTAACCAGGGGAGTCCCCCCTTTTTCCTTGATTGATTGTTTCGCGTTGTCCAAAGATTGACTGTTGTTGAGTGAAGCAAATGAAAAATTTTTCATCGTTTCCGTCGTCGATTCGTCATCACCACCGGCTAAAAATTTGAAAATTTTCAAAAAACATTATGTAATTTATCAAATTTTCCATGATCCGCGCGTATGGCATACCTTTTTTGATCGGCGTCACGGCGACATTATTTTTGACGTCATCGAGTGCTTTCATGAATCCCGAAGCGATTTCGGGTGTTTTGAATCGAATGGCAAACATGTCGTACTGAACTTCGCCGTCTGAAAAATCCGGTGCCGTCCACTGCCACGATTTTTCATCTTTTTTAATGAATTCAATGTCGGATGTGACGTAATGATTTAAACAAACTTTTAATACGACGTCCCGACGCATCAATAACCTATTGCATGAAAATTTATTTAGTTAACCAAAAAAAAAAAAAAAAAAAAATTTTTGTTTTCCTTTTTCCACGTTGCTGACACGTCGTTCAATAATCGGCTCGTACCTTATTTTCCTCGTTTCCTTATGTTTTAAAATTTTAACATCTCCTATTCCTCTTTCCCTCCATTCTTTTATATCCTTTTCTTCATCCTTGTAAAACCTATACAATTTACATCTTTGCTCGTACATTAATTCTTCATCTTCTTCTCCGGTAGGTAACTTTACCTAAAATTAAATAATAATAATAATAATAATAATAATAAGAAATAAACTGGAAATTTTATTTACTTACTTTTTCAGGGGTTGCGGCGTTTGTTTGATCGTTGGCTTCGGTTTTTTCCGGGGAGCTCTCGGATTTTTCGTAGCTCTCCGATAGCTTTTCTTGGCGAGGAGATAAACTTTGATTTTTATTACTATCGTCTCGTACGACCATAGAGAAAGAAAATTTATCTGTAATTTAAAAACACACACACGCACACACAGATTATTAAAACCCAACGTCTTGAAGAAAATTAACAAAAAGAATGATACAATCATTGTACCTTTTTCTTGCAGCTTCAAATTCGACGACCCAAAACTGAATTGAGTAGGTTTTTCCGAATCCGTTTTAGGCGTGCCAAAGACAAAATTAGATTTACTTAAAGACGTTCCCCCAAAAATGTTACTTGAATTACTTGTCGAAAAATTACTGGAATTGGGTTGAGAGGTGTTGGGAGAATTCGATAAATTTGAAGAGCTCGGCGCCATCGAGAAAGTTCCCGTGTTCGTCACATTAGCGTTTGTGGTTGAAGAGGAGTTTGAAACGTTACTTCCGAAAATATTACCACTCGTTGAAAACGTGTTGTTGGCTCCACCAAAAGTATTTACAGTAGAACCACCACCGAAAACGTTGCCTGTAGTCGCAGGAGCACCACCGAAAACATTGCCTTTAGTTGCAGGAGCACCACCGAAAACATTTCCTGTGGGTGGAGTAGCACCACCGAAAACATTTCCTGTGGGTGGAGTAGCACTACCGAAAACATTGCCTGTAGTTGCAGTACCAGCGCCAAAAATATTTTTGCTTGCAAATACGGGAGCGCCACCAAAAACACTGCTTGCAGTAGCACTGGCACCCCCAAAAATATTACTGTTCGTGGTTGTAGTAGTGGTACCACCGAATACACTACTAACGGTAGTTGTAGTGGCACTACCAAAGGAACTTTTTGTGACGGAAATTGTTGATGTTGTGTTGGGCAAAGTTTCGCCTCGAGTTGAAACGGGATTCTTGATACCAAAAGAAAATTCAGTTGATGGCTTGGAAAAAGACGGATTTGAACTTGCACTTGAAACGTTTAACGCACCACTATTCGCCGTGCTTTGCGTAGATGGAGGTATACCAAAC